CAGGCAGTTAGCACAGAGCAGCTGGTATGTAGCAAAACCTTGCCTCTTTATCTAAATGATTTGCATGTGTATATCCTAATCTGACACATTCATCTTGGATCCAGATCCATTGAAAACTTGGTATCATTGTCTTAATCAGAGCTGTTGCAATCTATTTTATAAGGGACTGTATATAGAATACTAGTTTTCTATATTACATTTCTTCTCCTAGGATTTTTTCCTGCAGAGAAATTAGTGCTCAGTAAGCTTCCATCTGAATTTACAACATACTAGCTATTCTGTTTTAATTCCCTATGCAGACACACATAAGTGTGTCTATGTGGACAGTTAATGTGACATAGCTGATGCATTGTAAATTTGCACATGAGGTTGCTAAACACTAATCTTTTTATGTAGAAAAGGCCATTATAATTGGCTATTTTATGTCTTATCAATCAGTGAGATTTTTTTTTTTATAAAACTGTTATATAGTGCTTTTAGTCTTCAAAGCACATTGGAAAGAACTGCTTTCAACTAGTTGAATGAATCCCATTAAAATAAACACTTTTGCATGAACATATTAAATACTAAGCTCTCGCATAGCATTTTTAACACTTTTCTTCAACTATAGATCTCTTAGCCTGCAGCTTGTGGGTACAAATTGTTGACATTTGTTAATCTTTGAGAATTTCTAGAAAATTCTTCCCTTGTGGTTGAAAGACTTGGAAAGCAAAATCCAGAAAATCTTGTGCCTATAGAGGTACTTTTTGAGGGGAAAAAAATGTAAATGCTTTTCTCATTTAATGGAATTTGTATTGCATTTTATTTTAAAGGATAGGTTCGACTGGAGGTGTGGAATTTATTCTAAAATTTAATGCTATCTCACTTGCTTTCTAGGTAGCAGAGTCCAGGCCCCCTTGCTCGCAAGATCTGGAGTTACAGGACTAGAAGTCACTTACACTACTGATGAGAGAACTCTTTTCCAGGAAGTAGTGAATATTGTAAAAAGGTAGCTTATCTGTCTGTTGTGCTTTTATTTTTCAGGCATGGTACAGCAGATTTTAGTTCCTTCATCCTCTTACAGTCTCTTAAATATTGATTGCTGTTGTTTTCCCTCAAAGGCTCATTTCTAGAATGGACAAGAATGGTGGTCTTTTGAATAAAAACATCTCTGCTTTTCTTTCCACTGAAAGCAGGCATTTTAAGATCCTCTTAGTTAAATTAAAGCATCCAAACTAATGTGCATCAATAATCTTGTCATTTTATAAACTTTCCTAATCATCCCAATGTCTAGTTCACATTTCTTAGTCTTCATCTCTTGCAGTGATGAAAACTGTAGAAAAACGTGCAGATAGGAAAGAATTGTTGTAGTCGTTCTGTGTCAAAAAAAGTCACATACAACCTTTGTAGGAAAATTGAGTATAATCAGTAGATAACTAGTTTCTTTACTTAGAAGTTTGTCTTCTCTGAATGGGGATCTATCTGGCCTGGAAATTTCTGGGGTGTTTTTTCACACCCTGGTTCTCCCCCCTTATTTCTTCCAAGTCTTGAAGGCCTATTTTACAGCACCCTCTGGTGGTGCTCCTATGGAACTGCAGGCACATCTCCACAGGCCTAACTGCCAAAAGTGTGAAGTCCTAAAGTTAAAAGGAAAAATAAACACTAAACCCTGACTCAGTCGGCTGGAATACAGTTTCAAGAAAAAGGTGTGTACTAGGCAGAGTACATTTGCAATTCTCTCTCTCTCCAACCAGAAAACCTCTGATGAATGACATGGACCAACCCCGTGAAGCCAGAATAACAAAAGTTGCTGAGAGCAACCAGCTCAGGGTGGGTCCCGACAGAGCAGCAGATCCATGTTCAGAGAAGATAAAAGTACAGGTAAGGAAACAAATTTTATTTTTCTTTCCTGGAAATCTGGTGCTCCATCTGGCTTTGGAAAACTGCTAGAAGTAGCAAGCAACTTTAAAAAAAATAAAAAATAAAAATAAAAAAAAGAAAGGAAAAGGTTCTCCAACATGGGAAAAGTTGAAAAAGGATATCAGATGGCAGTCTATAACACCATGTCAAAGATAAGGTATTAGACTTTTTATTTATCCATGAAGAGCATCAAAGGAGGACTCTCTTTGACTGTACATAAGAAAGCATCATTGGATGAAGAAAGCATGCTGATCCTGCACTTCAAGAGGGATTGCGTTAACAGCCAGGTAGCTGCGATGGGAGTCAGCAACTTTATCCTCAGAGCTTGCGTTTAGGAAGCTTGTACCGTGGGAAGATGACAATTTTAGTCTATATATACATATGTATAAAAGCAAGAGGAGGGGAGAAGGGACTTTGTTTTCTCAGTTTGTTTCCCCCAAGTATAACACCAGTAGAGTACCAAATTATTACTTTTTAGTTTGCTGCAAATAACACTTTACCATTGGACTACATTTGCAGCATACGGTTGTTTTCTCATTGAACATGTATAATCTTAGGACATAAAGGAGGAAAGAAAGTTGAATGGATTAAATGGAAGCCTGCATTTTTCTAGACCATAAAATGGGGGCTAGCCTCAGAACAGTTTTGCCTGGGGGAAAAAATTAAAGTAAAGATGCTTAATTGGAAGTTGTGGACTTTATATATTCTGCTTACTGAAGTGCTCAAATGGAAAGTGAACTAAAATTAAGAAAAAGGCATTTCCCTCGGGTTCAAAAGGAGTTTTAGTAAGCATACTTAGTATGGGGAGAAAAAGGTTCCAAAATGTCTTGTGTTGTCAGTCCTAGCAGGTTTTTCTGCTTTGTCCACTGTAAGTGCCAGGTTCTCTAGTTATACTAATAAGTCAACTTGATATAGAATATACTGAATTGGAGGAAGAAATCAACCAGATCATATTCAGGAGATGTTACCACTTAGGGTCTATGGAGCAAAACTCAAAGATTGAAGATCCAGAGAAGTCAGAAGACCTTCTGTGTATTAATTTGTAAAAGACTGAAAAGGTCTTTGGCTGGCATGTTGACATCAATCTTGGGAGCGATAAATTCTGGAGCATCATGAAGTGATCAGCATATGACTGCACCTTGCTTCTAGGTGATCTTTGTGACCACCTTGGATATCAAAGACAAGGGCGACAGAATGTAACTTCTGAGAATTGTCAAAGGGAATAACAACCTATCTGTTCAGAATACTTGTGGATTGCTAATTCCACAACAAAATTTATTAACTTGGTGGTGGACTGGACAGCAAACAAATCCACTTGTGAAAAGAGCCATCTCCAGGCAGTCTCAAGATGTATGTAGTAGTAAAGGATGGGTCCAGACATTTCAAGCACAACAGAATCCTTTTTTAGGCCTTTTCTTTTTTTCCATTTTTTGTTCTGTTTTGAGGCAGAACTCTGGTTGCTTTCTGTGTGAGCAGTTGCAAATTCTGGAAGAATGAATCAAGGGAGGCAGACTTGCAGTCTCAATTTTTGGTAGCTCCGGGGGAAATTAGTTCCAAGCTGAGCTTTTTAGGGAGGATCATTTATTCCTGTTTCATATGAATGGCCATCTGAGATTCCTGATTAAAAAAAAAAAAAAAAAAAAAAGTCTGGTCATTTGGATTTTTCCTGAGTCTACCAATGATTTTTTCCTTTGAACAAATGATCCAAGGGCTCTACATCAGTTAGAGGGTGCACAGCATTGGCTAGTTGGAGGTGGTGTCAGTTTCATTACCTCCTCAGAAAGTTATGGAATGAAGGAGGAGTATCATCTAGAGGACTAGGAAATAAGGATATCTGCTGCTCCAGAAAGCCCAGTTATTGTGATGAGTTGAAATCTCATGTAGTTCTAATTTTACCAAGAGATCATTCATTGAGTACTAAATCTGGATACCCTGTTATCTCATATTGACCACCAAGATAAATATAGGTGCCCACAGAGCAGATGAAAAACTGAAAGTCACTACCTGGAATTAACAGAGTCTATCTGATTGACAAAAGATGGCACATAGCACATCAAAATAGGCCTCTGAAATGATTCCAGAGTTTCTCTCAAATCAGTCGCAAGTGTTTTCTGTTGAAGTCCTCTCAACTCTTTGAATATAACAGCAAGTTTGGAGTATAAATCAAAGTGTTTCTTCTGATAGAATTAGGAAGATTATGTTAAAGGAGATATTGGATAAGATGAGAAATAGCCTCACTTTTTCTGCTGGGAGAGGATCAGTAGGAGATGTGTCAATTGCTCAAAGAAAACAGGAACACTCATGGACAATTGGAGCATAGATACTCAGGGTAATTGTGTGGAGAACAAAGGAAAGAGGTTTTGAGATGCTACCTAGATCATGTAGCAGAGATGATAGAAAAGTCATCACTGATGTCTTTTCTAATTTATTATGAGGGCATGTCTTTCAGAAATGAGATCAGTCCAAAGCTGTAGAGATATTCTGGAACTTTCCTGCAAAATAAAGGTAAACCTGAGCTGGTAGGGCTGTGTTGTCTTGAAAAAGGATACTTTCAAGGCAGCATAAACTGAACAGTTCCTGGACTCGATAAAAACGGAACAGATGAAAGGACTGTTGATCAGTCCTTGCACTGTTGAAAGTTATGAACTTGGTAAAATGTCCTGAAGCTTGCTTGCTCTAGCAAGGCTTGGCTAGGCATAGCTTGGCTAAATTAGGCGGGGCTTAGGCACACTGGTCCAGATTTGGTAAGGTTTTTTGGTAAGGTTAGAAACTTAGTTAAAGGGTGGTCCAAAAAGTAGTGTTTGTGGTTTGTGTTTCAGCCAGTTGTTTCTTTCTCGAAGCGTGCTAAAAAAAAAAAAAGCTGGTTCTTTGGGAGAAGGAAAATTTGCAGATCCCAGTCCTCTTGATTCAAGCAGACCTGGTGTTAAAGGATAGGCTATTCTTCTACATTTCTGAAAAAAGCACATGGAAGATGTGGACTTTGCATTGGGCTAGTCTCTACTGAGAGGTTGAGTTGCTTGGAATTTTTACTTGTCAGGGTTAGACTCTCCATAATTCAGTCTTTTCCAGAGATTTAAAAGATTAAGCTATTGTCTCAGGATGAGACAGGAAAGGTCCTAGAAGCAAAGATGAAGTCTGTTCTCAAAACTGAAGGTGGAGTGAGTCTGTCTTCTAGAACCTGTGAGAGCCCATTTGAGGTGAAATAACCCGAGTCAACTGACTGATCATCTGGAGTGGGATATTCCAGTCTTTGACCAAAAAACCTGATGATAATCCATTGCCTTGGAGGAATCTTTAAAGGAGCAGACTGGTTTTGATGTCAATTTTGTCCTTACTGATGGGATATTGGAAAGGGGGACAGAGACTCTCAACTATATTGCTAAGAGATGATTGCTGAAAAGGAACATCCATTCTTTTAGATGATTGGGAGCACTCACAACTTGAAGTAACTGGGTGGCGTCTCTGTGTCGAGAGAGCTGATAGGAGGCAATTAAGAGGAACAAGAGCCAGAGGTTTTAGCAAAATTCAATTACTTGAGGTGCAAGACCTAGGGAGGGCAGTAAAGAACTCAAATTAGAAACACCATGGCGAAAGATTAACTTCAGAAGAATTGGAGAACAAATTTCAGTGGCAGTGGAGTAAAGAAAAGCATGATTACTAAGTTGCTCCTTGGTGAGCAGCTCCCCACAGCCCAGCAGTCTCCTGCAGCCTGACTTGCACTCTGTTGGCTGCAGCAATGTGGGGGTGAAGCTGCAGGGCCCACAAATGTGTTTGACAGCCAACATAGAAAAGTGAAGGGGTTCTGGGCTCTTAAGGTTGTTCTTGGGACAGCTCAACATCTACTGATATGGAGAACAGCTCTCTACTGCTAAAATAAACTAATCCCTTGTTCTACTGGAGTAGAATTTCTTGGTGTTGAAAGGAGGCCAGTCTGAAGCGAGTCAGAGGAAATCAAGGAAGTCTAATCTGGGACTTAAAAAAAAAAAAAAAAAGCCCTGTAAAACCTGTCTGTCTGAACCCAAAGGCAGTATGCTGGAGAAAGATGTGCCTGTAGTTCCTTAAGCAAACCACTAGACAACACTGGTAAAATGGCTTCATGAGAGCATGGTCGAAAGGAACTTTGCAAGAACTTTTTTCTTGGAACGTCAAAGATGGGAAAACTAAAGCCTGATGGAGCAGCGGATTCCAATGAAAGAGAAATTAAAATGTTATGGGCCTCTTCACTTTTAGGGTAAATTCTGCCTCTCCACCCTGTTCAGAGGTCCGCAAATGCAGTAGAAAAGGTATTGTTCTGCTGTGCAGTATTTCAAACAAATGCACACTCTTCTGCATGCCATAGAGGTAGGGGAATCGGGAACAGATGTGACATGGAGAGAGTCAATGGATTCACTGCTGCATGGTTCACCACCATCCTCCAAAGTAAGGAAGCAAGGGGTACCTTCTGAGAGAGGATATAGAAATATATGTAATGGGGTACAGGAGCTCAATATCTTCAAAGATTGTGTTTAAAAACTAGTCATTTAAAAAAAAAATACAAGCCTGTTTTGCTATATTAAACAACAGTTCTTTAACACTTAAATCTTGAGTGCTTTTCCATGTAAAATATCACATGGATATTAAATTAGCTATATTTTCATATTAGATACTTTACAGTATGTGTATGGCATATGTAATGTGAAATTTTGGCTAATTTTTCTCCACTGTACCACCACATTAGATGGTACAGTGGAGCAAAAATGTACAGAAAAATATACAGAATTTAAAATGAAGTTGTCTTAAAGGAGGTACAAAATAACTTTTCCCAGGACAGCAGTATCTTCCTTGTCTGTAGAGGCTACCTCTAAGAATGTGTTCTGACTCTACATTGCCAGCTCTGTGGGTTTATTTACCCTTAAAGCTGGGGTACTCAATCCCTGGCCCGCACAGCTATGGCATGCACTTGGCAACTAATATTGCCACCCTGTTGCAGAATTCCTAAGCCTCATGCAGCTGGGTTGGGGCCAAGCCATGCACCCCATGTCCCCTCACAACCTTGTGGCCAGACCAGAGCTAGGCTCTCCTCCCCTCACCACGCGCATAGCCAGGTTGAGGCTGGGCCATGTCTCCTCCCTCCACACAGCTAGAATGGGGCCAGGCTACACCTGTACCCCTCTCTGCATGGCTGAATCAGGTATTAGTGTGCCTGCCTTGTGCTGGATCAGGCCCACTGGTCAGTTCCAGCTTGTAGACAGGCTGGACACTGCCCATCTAGCCAGGGAGGCAGAAAGGTTGAGTGAGCACCACTGGACTAAAGCGAACTGGAAAAAAATTCTTTAGTCTCTAAATACTGCCTGTATTGTAGGTCTAGTCTAAATTCTTTTCTTGAGTTCCCCCAAGTTCAGCGGAAGAAGGATGTGCAGTCAGGAAAAACAAGCACTAGGAAAGGGAAGGAAGATACAGTGAGAACTTACTCTTCATTGGAATAAAAGAAAATATTTACCATAGAATGGGAAGGAAGAGGAAATGACAGAAAAGAAACACTAGTGCTGTGTGACCCTTTCTGACTAGAAAGGAAAATAAGCTTTTTTTTTTTTTTTTCCCTTTACAGAGTGGACGATTTGTTTGTAACTAACACTGCATTTAAATCCTAGTAGTACAAATTCTGCTTTTCATCTCTGCAGAGAGGTTGGCAACGGTATGCAAAATAGTTTCAGTGCCTACGCTTTTATTGCAGCAGGTGGTGCCAACCAAAGGGCACTCTGTGCTGGCAGACATGCTTCCCACCCCAATCGCATTTTTCCCAGCCAACAGCTCTCAACTACCACCATTAAGGCTCATCAGTTCTTAAAACTGACCTGAATGCTATTCCTCTTAAGGTAGCTTTCCTGGAGAGGAGGGCAATATGGGCTTCCTGAAACCTTAAACTATAACACATGATTTCATAGAAAGTGGTGAGGAGGAGTGCAGATAAAGTATAGAAAGCAACTGCAGTATCACAATGCACGTATGGATAAGCCATTTCCCTAATATCTCCTTGCAGTTTTTCCTCAGTGACCACTGCCATCATCAATCAAATAAATTGTGCGTCATCTTATAAGAACCATGAAGTTAGCACTCTCACTGAAAAGGGATTTGTAGCAATTGTCACTTGACTTCTGTCTCAGGTCGGACGGGCCACCTGGGGCTTCAGCCATGAATTAGCCATAACTAGGGACCTACTGAAATTGCAGTTTCATGGATTTCGTGAAATCTGGCAAGTGGGCAATGCCCACAAAATCCACAGAGGGAAAAAAAAACTTACTGAAAATAAAATGCTAGCTCCCCAGCAGCCTGGTGGGGCAGGGAAGGGGAGAGAGTGATGTGCCCCCTTGAAGTGCTGCTGGCAAGATGGCTATCATCCCTGCATCTCGCTGCTGATTGGCTGCAAGGGCTGCCTGTGATGTGGCCCTGCTTCTCTCTACCAATCAGCAGCATGGGTGGGGGCCACATGACAGGAAGCCCTTGCAGCCAATCAGTGGCGAGAGGTGTGGCCACCCCTCATATCAGCAGGTAGCTGCCCCAAATTTAGTAGGTCCTTAGCCATAACAAATGGGGTCATCCTAAATAGGCTTTGGGTCTTGAAGAAAAAATTTTCTTGACAGAATTGAAGACACTTATTATGCCCAACTACTAAAATATCAACTCTGAGCAAAAAACTAGATTTTTCATACATAATCCACCAGTCAAAACTGTGGTATTGGCACTAAGGTTGAAAGGTTAACTAACCATCTCTACAAGAAACAGAATCTAAACTCTTGAGTATTGTATCAGAGGAAGTAAGGAAGAGTTCAGGATTTGATACACGTTTTGACTGTGAAGGGGACGTGACAAAGATTATTCCTACAATTAGATCTGTGTAAGCCAAAACAAAATTTTGATTTGACAGATAAGATATAGTTTCATTCCATCATATTCTACAGTAAAAGCACTTTTTTTAGGGAATTAAGAAAGGTGGTAATAATATGACCAATTAAGCTATTTTGTGCTTTCCGCTATAAAGGATCTTTGACCTTTTCATGCTTCCATTGTATTTAGCAAATGTTTATCTAGCAGAGAGAAACTCTCAGGCTACATAAATAAATGCTTCCAGTTAATTTTGCTAAGTGAAACAGTCAAATAGGCCATTTCGCCTCATCTTGTTTGCATTCTTCAGGAACATTTTGGCAGTCTCCAAAATAATACAAGCATTTAAAGACGGGGCTGACCCTCAGAAGTAGCATGTACGTGTACTCCTGGAAGCTGAGTGCAGCTGAGAGGGGGAGGAAAAGAAAAGAGCTGCTGGGCTTTGTACCTTTGCTCCATATGGAACAAGAATGCTCTCTGGGTGATATTTAATGGGAGTTGTTCCAATTGCACATAATTACTTTTTTAAAATATTTTTTTCTTTAAAATATGAGAGAAACACATGCAAAGACTTGTATTTAAAAAAGAATTATTTCAGTAGCAAATTTAGGATGTACCAAGCTTATGGATATCTGGACAATATTAATTCTGCCCTTTAGTATATATGCATTATGATCCAGCTTGCAGTACCCAGGCAACTCACAAATCTTTTTTAATGCATTTATTCTCTCAACACCCTTGCAAGGTACCATCACTGCAGGTTTATAAACTGAATCGTGTAGAGACAAAGGACCTCTCTATATAGGGAAGTTCTGTGCTCAATAAATGCACTAGGCTAGCTCATTTAGTTTACTGAATGCTAATCATGTCCATGTAGGAAAGTAGTACTGAATAGGTGGTGTGCCATAAATTTGCAGCCTCTTACTGTGCATTGACTTCTCTATGTAGACAAACCCTTAGTGGCTTGCCCAATCAGCACATTAATTTTTAACTTGACATGCTTGACATCATGACCTAATTAAGTCATTTCACATCACTTAAATATATATAACATTTTAAATACTTAAGTTGGTTTTCTTTTAAAATTGCTCAAATATACCTGAAGGGTTTCATAAGGAAATCAAGAAGTCTTATTTATATTTATATACCAACTTCCATCCTGAAGTAGGGACTGTTTTAATCTCATTTGGAAAACAGCACATTAGGATCACTTTCTCCATCACTGTTTATCAGTACACAGCACCTCTAGTTAACTGTTTAGCACACAACTTAGATGAAAATTCTGTATCCAGTTACAACAAAAAGGGGAATATTTGTAGATCTAAATAGTAATCCTTTGGAATTTGGTCAGGTAACTGGGCAAGCCTGGTTGATACTCCTGCTCTTGCAGAAAAAAGCTCTATAACATCTTCATTTATCATTCATGGTAAGGAAATCAATCATGTCTCTCAAAGAGAAGACAGCCTCTTCTCCAGCTCAGTGCCTTTTAACAAAGTATCTGTTCAGTGCTAACTCAGAGAGGAGGGGCATCCCAAGCAATAGTGAACATTCATCATGTAACACCAGACACTTTCAAGTCTCTCAAGTAAGAAAGGCAGTTTTCACATTAAATTATCGCACCATATGTTGGTATTAGTGAAAGTTGTTTTTCCGCCTTTGGACAGTGTGAAACAATCTTCAAATACGAAAACGATGAGAGATTAAATTCTCTAACACACCCTTCCAAGAATACCCATTATAGTAATCAATTCACAGATTGAGAAATGCCACTACCAAGTTAGTCTGCTAAAATTAACAGGAAAATTGATCAGTCTGTAATGTTTACTATATTGTTGTTAAAGATGATTAAAGATATTTTTTTTCCTCTCCAAAGTTCAGGTTGGCAAATCTATACTCTTTCAAAACTTTGATTGAGAATCACTGTGCTTTCTCTGAAGTAGCAAATGTTAACTTTTTAATTGTGATTCTCTTGCTAGAAAGCAGTGAGGTTAGCTTCCTTTCTTTGCCCCTGACAAATTCTGAATAACTTTTTTTTTTTACTCTACTACAAGCTGATCAGGGATCAGAATTCAGTAATTTTTGTTTTCCTTAGTCTTGGCAGCAAAGGGTATTTTGGCATTTAAAGATAAATTCCAGACTTCTTAACTTGCTATGCTAAGAGAAGGCTCATGGTCGAAACATTTCAATATTTAAAATCGTAGCTGAAACCTTTTAACATTTTCAAGGTGTCAGAAAATGTAAAGTAGGAAGGAAAAATACTTTTTCTCAAAATCAAAACAATATATGGTAGCACAAGATAACACACATTCTGTAATATATACAGATTACTGCAGTAGAATTTGTTTCACTTAGACTTGGCTATTAGTGAAAGTAAAAACGAAGCTACTAAAATTTGAAACCTGTAGCAGTAGACTAGAGAACTTATTTTCAATGCGAAGTTATCTCAAAATCATTTATTTTCTCATAAGGATTTACTCTGTTTCTGTTGTACCTCTTGTCAGTGAAATTCGGTGGCCAAATCTCCAAATCCAGATTGAATCAGGAGACCCTTTAATCTCTCCGAATCAAACCGGAGCCCTCCGAATTGATACAGACACAGCTTTAAAAGTTTTTTTTCTACATACCTCTATGTAGTGCTATGAAGTACTTCCAGTCCACTTCCAGGTTTGCCACCAAGCACGTGGGATGCTCCATGCACCCCAGCATCACAGTGTTCACAAGCTACTCTGGTACCTCAAGGTATGTAGAAAACACATTTAAAGCTGTGTCTATGTCCGAATCACAGATTCTACGAATCAATATCAAATCTTAAGAATCTTAAGAATCAATTCAGCCACATCTAATCAGGGACAGTGATCCGAATCAACGAATTGAATCACTGCCTCTGATTCGGGCCAAATCTGAATTGAAAAGGGCCCACTTCACACACCCTTAATAACTATACTCCTGTCAAATGACATCACAAACTTCAACAGCTGCCCAGAATCTGTGATGCCAGGGGTGTTCAGAGGTAGCAAAGAGAACATAAAGGTAGAGCTAAAAACTATTAAATAACTATTGTTAGTCTTATTAAAAGTTGGCAGGGAAGTACTATAATACAAATATGAAGATATAAAGGCAAAGACTAACATCTACTGCTTACAGAATAAGTTGTGGTAGACAATATTGCATGCGCATGCCCACCAGGCTTCACTTCTTTGTCTGTACTCAGGAAAAAGTTTAGGTCCCAATCCAGCTTCCAACCTTGCCAGTGTGGGCCATATCCTTAAATAAAGTCCCAGTGAAATCAAAACAATTCTGCATGTGCTCATAAATTATATTGACAGGTCTTTAGATGGTGAACCAATCAGAGTGGGAACCATCTCATTTCCAGGGATCTGGGTTTTCCGTTCACGGAGGAAAAATACAGATTTTCTCCTTTAATGGAGACAAACACAGATTTTCTTTTACAGGAGAAAAGGAGGCACTGGTAGGTTTCCATATTGCCTTTAATTTGTAAATATAGCAATAAAACATTGTGTTCAACTGATAACTATATATATAGTATGGTTTAATTTTAATCGTGGAAAAATGCGGATTTGGGGGCATTTTAGTTAGAGAACTTGGGATTTTTAAACAGAGAAAACGAGGATCCCTGATCATTACAAACCTGTAGAACTGTTAGCATACTTACATGCTTTGTTAAATATTTTTTGAACTTCTAAAGTAATTTCCCTCTAATGGATTTCTAAGCACTTTACAAATACTGGATTTCAGCACAGGTAGGAATTATTCTACTGAATTGCTCCCCACTTGAAAATTGGGAAAGTGGTACAGAATAGTTAAGGGTTACATAGGAAACCTGTATCAAAGTCTGGGAATAGGACCATGATCTTCTGGGTTCCAGTCTTCTATTTTTGGCTATAAAACTACCCTTTTCTTCTTTTATGCTACTCTATAAGGACAATACAAAATGGATGAGCACAGATAATCCTAGGATTAATTTCCCTTCAAATTGGCAGGAATGAAGCTGTTCACAATAATAACCTGTTTGTATTATAAACCAGATTACTAGAAATGAGTTTATTGAAGCTACTGGACTGCAACTCCTGACTAGTTTAACAAGATGTGATAACAGTGTTTCACTTATAGGCAATAAAATGCTGCATTCCAAAAACCTGATGAGATCCATATGCTGTTCCTTATCTTCTTAAAAATATAATGAAACAGATTTTAGTTTAAGGTTATAAAATTTACAAGATTTTTGTATGTGCTGGGAAATAAGAGATCCTTTTCTAACAAAGGACCAGATCCAGGTTTCAGGGAATTTTTGGTGTTTTTCTTGTTGAACTTACCATGAGAAAAATCAAACTCATAGTTGGCAAACGATCCCATAAATAATGTTTTTATATTATTATAATATTTCTCTCTTTCC